TAAATATATATATATATATATATATATATATATATATATATATATATATATATATATATTGATTTTTCACAGAGAGGAAGGGAGAGGGATAGAAGAGATAGAGAGCTAGAAACATCGATGAGAGAGAAACATCGACCAGCTGCCTCTTGCACACCCCCCACCAGGGATGTGACCGCAACCAACGTACATGGCCTTAATCGGAATTGAACCTGGGACCCACCCAGTCCGCAGAACCGACACTCAATCCACTGAGCCAAACCGGTTTTGGCAGTAACACCCATTCTAAGGCTGAGAATGCAGAGAGCCAGGGCAGTGCAACATGTGACCAGTCGAAGCGACACAGCGCCTAGAACCTACATCTGCCATCCTTTGCCCCCTCTTGGCCCCAGCCACCACCCTCCCACCACCCCATCCCCCTGTCCCTGTCCCCGGCCACCCCTTGCACAAGGCCCTGATGCAACCCTCTACCGGCCCTGGGTGCCCCTCTGTGAGCAGCTCCGGGAAAAAGGTTTTGCAAGAGCCGGGGCAGGAAGCTCCGCCAGGGCGGTCCCGGGAAGATAAGGGCGGCCCGCCCCTGCGCGCCTCCAGGCCTTCTGGTTTCCTCTCTTCCCTTCCTTTCCCTTTCCGGGAAAGAGGCGCCCAGACCTGGCCTGCCGGTGACTCACCCCCTTTCGCTCTGGCAGCCAGGCTGGGATCCCAGGCCCTCCTGGTGCTGGACAGGCTCACTGTGTGTGACCCTGGGCAGCGAGGCCTCGCTCGCCGGCAGTTTCTGGAACTCTGTGGGAATAGCTGGCATGAAGACAGGTTCCACCTCTGAGCCTTTGTCTCAGGAGGCAAAGTGGTTTGGGGCTTTGGGGACCTCCCTCCCCACCCCCCTTAAGCCAATTTTGAGGTCTGGGTGACAGATTGGCAAGTGTAAGGTTGAGGGGGGTAGGCATCCAGAGGGCAGGGCCTGGTGGTCTCTCAGCCTCTAGGGCAGAAGCAGACATGCCCACAGTTGGGTGGGCCTCCACCTGGCGTAAGGCCGGTGCCAGCTGTGTGACCTGTCCCCCAGAGCCAGGTCACGAGGACCTGCCCCAGGATTTCTCAGAGAATGAGAGCCTGGGCCATTTCCATCTTTTAAGGCTCTAGTAAGCTTTTGGAGGATTGCAAAAGTTGTGATACGTATTGTGTCTTGGCTTTCCCAGTTGATGCATTAAAAAAATAAAAATAAAAATTTCCCAATCGAAATCATACACACCAGGTATGATTTCAGTTGGGAAATAAGATGAAAAAGGCTACCCTGGATGTCCCCAGGGAACCCGAAGCCTCTCTTAGGCCTGATTTCTGGAAAAGTCCTCCAAAACAGTGAGGGCCCCACCATGGCCTTGGGTGGGTCACTGCCCCTCTCCGATGTCTCTCTGTTTTCACCCGGAAGTAGGACGAGCAATGGGCCCACACACCCGACAGGGCTGATACGACAAAACCCCCTTAGAAAAAACTCAAACCACTTTACACCAGCATCCGCGAAGGTCCACCCCAGAGCTGGACTAACACACAGCAGCTCAGCGGGTCCTGGAGGCTGCGGGTCTGAGCCCATTCTCCAGGTGAGCTAACAGAGGCTCGGAGGCTCGGCAGAGGCGGTGGTCTCCGGCCTCGCTACTGACACACTAGCCTATTATGCCTGCTGTTGCTGCTGTGATTATTAAAATGAGTGCATGGTAACTCTGCCCCCATACAGCGGTGAGGGTTAAATAAGTCAATTTTTAAAAGGAGCTTGGTAGTCCTAGCTAGTTTGGCTCCGGGTATAAAGCATCAGCAGCAGACAGAAGGGTCCCGGGTTCGATTCCAGTCAAGAGCAGATGCCAGGTTCGGGACTCCATCTCCAGGAGGGGGCCTGCGGGGGGGGGGGGGGGGCAGCAGTGATTCTCTCTCATCACTGGTGTGTGTGTGTGTGTGTGTGTGTCTCCCTCCCCCTTCCTCTCTGAAATCAATACAAATATATATTTTGTAAAAAGAGCTTAGGATAGTACCTGGCACATCCTAGATGCTCTGTGCTTGTTAAAACAATAAAAAAAAAAAGAAAGAACTTCAGGCCCACTGCCCTAGAGAGGCGAAGTCCAAGGTCCAAGGAACTTTGTCTCGGTGTTCCACCCCATCAGGAGGGATTAAGGAGTTAATGATTTCCCAAGCAGGGGCTGAAAGAAAGGAGTCTCTCCTCTCTCTCTCTCTCTCTCTCTCTCTCTCTCTCTCTCTCTCTCTCTCTCTCTCTCTCTCTCTCTCTCACACACACACACACACACACACACACACACACACACACACACACACACACTCACACACTCACACACTCACACACTCACACACACCCCCGGGAGGCCTCTGTCCCCCTCGCCCTCCCCCCGCGCAGCCGGAGCCTCTTATGCAAGCCGCCGGCGCCCGTTCCCAGGCCGCTGCAGCTGCGGGCGGAGGGCGGGCAGGGCGGGGGCGGCTGTTTGTCTCCGCGGCCGTGCCAAAGGCGGCGGGCCCCAGACAGCCCGGCGCCTCCGTACACCTGGGGATGCTCAGGTTAAATGGCTCCGCATTCCTCGGGCCCAGCTGATGGAAACGCTCCCAGGCCGCCGCGGAGCCGGCCTCCAGATGGGCTGGGCGCGGGCCAAAGGGGAAAAGAGGGGAACGTGGAAGCCAGCGTGTGCGGAGCGGCGGGCGTGCTCCCGGGAGAGCCTGCCTGCCGGGAGGGGGCCCGCGGGGCACGCCCCCGCCCCGTGGGTGGGCTTGCAGGCGGGGGGGGGTGGGTCCCCACACGGGAGGGGAGGCAGTGGGTGCACACGTGCACCTCTGAGGACACGCCAAGGACACCGGGCGACAATTCATAACTTAGAACCGGCACACACGGCGGGCTAAGGGCCCCACTTCATTTCTCTCTCTACCGTTTTATGAAGTTAATGCCATGAAACAGCAGCGGGGTGCGGAGTGGACGGGGCGTAGCCAAGGGCTTCATTTACCTCCAATTATTGGGTCCTTTGATAAAGTTCCCGAGGTGCTTGGGGAAGGGGTGGGCCCTGGCTTTTTTAATTTGTCAGTTATAGTGGATACACTATTAGTTTCAGGTGTACAACGTGGGGATTAGACAAGGGGTGGTACCCGCTGTAATGTTCTCGCTCAGGAGATGACCGGCTTTTATTTATTTGTTGTTCATCCCCTCGGAGCCTCTGTTTCTGCTGTAAACCTGGGACCAGAACCCTGCGTTTAGCCCCCACGAGAAATGCTCTATGTAATGGGTTGAGCTTGGCAGGCTCATAGTAGTAGACGCTATTTCTTTCATCCCATTTTTATTTACGAACACGATGTATGGACGGTCTTCAGCTTCTCTGGGACAAGTGTTTTGCCCTTTCGAGGACTCGGTTGCTCCCCGTGTCACATGGGGAGCTGACCTGGTAGGGTATATGGAGTTGGTGTCCCAAGGGCCTAACAATTAATCGCCAGGGAAGTTGGCACTTGAACTTTTCAGGAAGCGTTTGCCTGAATGCGGCAGCCCCCACCTCCACCCCAGACGGGCAGAGACCCAGAAATGCCAGCCAATCTACAGAACAATGGCACACTTAGGAGCCCCGTGTGGTCCCGCAGCCCCCAGACACACTCATCCATCAAACCAGACCCATGCGGAGATGCCCACAATGCAGTTAGGCGAACACACGAGCCCAAACAGCTGGAGGTTGCACATTTATCTGCAGAGCACATGTGCTCACATTTGCCCTTTTTGCACACACCCCAGGCCTGCACACCAACAGAGGACCCAGCCCCACGGGGAGCTACCAGTTCATGCATGTCACACACGCTTACGCACTCCCCTGTGACTACAAACTCCACACACGCGTCCAGGCCGATAGGCCCTTGCCAATGACATTTTTTTTTTTTTTTCTGCTCGGGAGCTGGGGACTGACTCACCCACTCCTCAGAGCCCACACAGGAGCCCCGGGGCGAGAGGAGGTTCCTGTGAACTGCGGGCTGGCACAGCCTGGCCGGGGTGAGGGGGCCGGCTCCGGACCCAGAGCAGGTGGCCCTGCAGCTGTGCCCAGGCTGGCCCTGCCAACCTACTCACCCACTTGGACAAGCCTGGAGCCCCCGGGTTAGGCGGCCCGCTGGGTGGCACCTCCTGCCGGGGGATGGAGCGATGGCCCAGCCTCAGACAGGCGGAGGCTCTGGGTAAGCCCCTTCCCTCTGGATCTCACTTCCTCCCTGCTGGCCAATGTGCAGGTGGGCCCAGTGACCTGATTCTCCGACTGAAGTAACTTCCCAGCCCAGAGGGGGCTGGGCAGGTCGATCTGCATTACAACCACCTCCCCCGGGGGACCCCCGTAGCCGGCTCAATGGCCGCTTTGAGAAACCCTAGAGTACTTAACGTGATGACAATAGGGAGCCGGAAAATGACCAGTGATGGGGAAAAGAATACTTTAAAGACACCGGAAACACAGTTCGGGGCGGTGAAAGGGACAGTCCAGATGTGGCCTTCCAGCGCCAGCTGTGAGAGAAAAGGGTCAGGGGCCACCCCCACCCCCCAACCCCGGCCCCTCCCCTCAACCCAAGAACACTGACATGTTACCATCATCTAAAGTATTTGTTTAATAACAGGAAAAAAAAGAAAACCAACAAAAAACCCCACAGAACTATTGTAAAACAATATTCTCAGTCGGTGATCATTGTAATATACAATACAAAGCAATAATTTCCTCAGAAATCTGAGAAGCACCAAACGTGACCATTTTTTAAAATGTCTTGCTTTTCAAAAAATAGAAACACACGGGGGGGAAACTCCCCCAAGTCTCTGGTGGCTGGTAGGTGTGGAGGGGAGGTCGGCTCGTCGTCCTGTCAGCCCCCCATCCCCGGGCTGGGTCCGCGGGAGCCCCAACCCAAGGCCGCCGGTCTCGGCCTGTCTGTTCCTCCCCGGGCGCTCGGGGGGCCGGGGCGCTCCTGCCTCTCGCCCCTGCAGGGCGGGGGTCGGCGGGTCCGGGGCGCGCGCTTCAGCGGCACAGGATGCGGTCGTCCGCGGGGACACACGCCGCCTGTGAAACAAACGGAGAGAGAAGAGGTGAGACGGGCGGGCTGGGGAGGGGACCAGGCTGCCAGCCGCCCCTTCCCCGGGAGCCACGAGCCAGGAGCGCTTCTTCCCATGCCCTTAGGAGCCCTTCCGCAGCCTGGGACCCCCAAGGATCATAGGGTCGACCCCCCACCCCACCGCCCCCTCTCCGGGGCTCAGTTTCCCCATCTGCAGCAGGAAGAAAACACGACCTCGCGTTCCCATGGGGAGCTCGCTCACCTCGGCGGCCAGGGCGCTCATCTCGCCGTTGAGGGTGCTGAGCGGGGCGCGCGCGGGCAGCCCCCGGGCGCCGGGGCTCCCGGCCTGGGACTCCGAGTTGAGCTCCAGCTCCAGGTCCCAGATGTAGTCGATGACGTGCTGCAGGATCTCCACGCGGCTCACCTTGCGGTTCTGGGGCAGCGTGGGCACCAGCTCCTTGAGGCGCGAGTAGCAGCCGTTCATGTCGTAGAGCAGCACGTTGACCGGCGGCTCGTCCAGCAGCGCGGGCAGGCGCGCGGCGGGCCCGGCGGCGCAGCGGGAGATGGCCACGCTCTGCTCCGCCAGGCAGCGCACGCCCTCGCCCGCCGCCCGGCCGGCCCGCAGCGCGCAGCTGGGGCCCGCGGCGGCCGCGGCGCTGCCACTGGCCACCTTCATGCTGCTGCCGGCGTCGGGGTGAGAGGCGCGGGGCTGGGCGCGCGGAGGGAGACTCGGGCGCGGGGAGACGCTGGTGGAAGGCACGCTCCGAGCCCCGCCGCCGGGTCCTTATAAAGGCGCCGCGTCCCCGCCCCGGGGGCGGGCTCAGAGGTTCAAAAGAAGCCAATGAGAGGCCTGGGGGCGTGGCCTGGGCCCTGGGCCCCGCCTCCCGCATTACGATTGTACCTCGGAGGGCGTGGAAAGGGGACCCCGAACCTCCAGAAGAGAGAGTGGGAAGGCTCGGGGCAGGGTGGCCAGGGGAGGCGAGGGCTACCTGGGAACCTCGGGGAGGAGGCAAGGAGGCGAAATCGATATTGCCAATAACAAAAAAGACCGAGAACCCGTTTTCTCCGGGTTCGTTTTCTCACCTCTCCAGCTCCATTTTACAGACGAGAGAAACTGAGGCCTGGGTGGAGAAGCGGCCGGCTCTGGGTCGCCCAGAGAGCCTGGGCTTCTGGATCCCATTGGAAGACGACCTCTGGGACCCTGATCTCCCGAATACTGGGTCCGAAATGAAAGCGGGTCCTCCTTCTAACACTCTGAACTGGGGCTCGTCTCTCTCTCCCAATTGCTAGGGAATGTTGTTGATGTCCTGGGGCCAGGGGGACTTACCCAGGCCCCTCGGGGTGCGAGCACTTAATTTAGGAAAGTCTTCCCCTAGGACTGGGGGCTGGGGCCTCTGGGATCTGAACGAGATAGATGGCGGCTCCCAGAGTGGGCACGCTGCGTCTCCTGATTCTACTCGGAATTTGCAACCCCCTGCAAAAACTCCCCACATCTGCATCAAGGAATGATTTTAAAATTTTTCTCCTTTTTTCGGATGTCTCCCCCACCCCACAAAAAAAGAAAAGATTTCAGATCAGGTTCTCCCACAGCGCGGCAGCTGCAAGCTGAGTCCCCCTCTCCTCCCACCCTCCCCCCGCCGGGCTTCCCGGGCTGGTCTGTGTCAGCGTCTGAACAAGAGGCTCAGACCGTTAGACGCCAGGCCCGTGACGTCACCCATTCATAAAACCTGGACGGGCTGTCAGGCTGGCGCCGCGCGGGCGGTCGCCATGGAGACGGCAAACCCGGCTCCCCGCGCTGCTCGGGGCCCCGCCAGTCACCTGCGGACCTCCGGCGGGAGGCCTGGGAATGCGCTCCGCACGGGCGCGGTCGCCGGGCAAGGGTCACCTTACCTCCCCGCCCCACACCTGGACTCTCCCCACCGGGCCCGCAGCTTGGGCCGCTTGGGAGGTTTCTTCGCCGCCTCCCCCCTTCTCCCCCTCCCAATCTCCAGTTCCCTTTGCTGCCTGAGTTCCGATTCCAACTCTGCCGCCGCTGCTGCTGCCGCTGCTGCTGCTGCCGCTGGGTGAATTTAGTTGAGTCTCCAGCCCTCTGAGCCATGCTATCTGCCTGGTGTTTTGAGGATAAGCACACGGGTGACTATTTATGGCGTTCTTACTTCCTGTCAGGCAGGCACTGTGTGTGTGAGGAGTTTGCCTTTATCATCTTCTGTAATCCTTGCTACGCCTCCACAGAGAGGAGCTGTTTGGTTTCTTTATACACAGGAGGAAACTGAGGCTCAAAAAGCCTCCCAGGCCCAAACCGGTTTGGCTCAGTGGTAGAGCATTGGTCTGCGGACTGAAGGGTCCCAGGTTCGATTCCAGTCAAGGGCATGTACCTTGGTTGCGGGCACATCCCCGGTAGGGGGTGTGCAAGAGGCAGTTGGTTGATGTTTCTCTCTCATCGATGTTTCTAGCTCTCTATCTCTCTCCCTTCCTCTCGGTAAAAAAATCAATAAAATATATTAAATAAATTTAAAAAAAAAAGCCTCCCAGGAGCCACACTGCTGTAATGGCTGCGTGATTGTTAACAAGGACACTTCATTGTAATGCGGTCCCTTCCAGTCTGCATCCAGAGCCCTAGCTAGGCCAGAGCTGTGGAACCCGCATCCCGGAAGCCAGACAGCGTGAGGAGGGCTGAAATTCATCGCTCACACAGGCGAGGGTGATATTACCCACTCCACCTCCCGGAACAATTCACTCCTGGGTGTCAGCAGGTTTCCTTTTTCTACAGAAGTTTGGAGAAGGCGGTCATTAAACCAGCCGGCAGTCCTCCACATGAGGAAACCAGGAAAACGGATCCGGGAGACCGTTTTCAAAGGCGAGACGTCATCAATTAATTAGCTGGACTCTCCGTCCTCTTATGACACCCGAAAGCTCTCCAAGCTCCTGAGGCTTGTTTTGCAATCCTGTAATGATTGGAGAGAACGTTTTGCTGTGCAGAAGAATTGCTAAAGAATTGCAAGGACAATGACCAACGAGAGAGGAAATTAGAATAATAATTCACTATTGAGTGGTTATTAATTGATCTAGCAATTCTTTTTGCTAGTATCCATCCCAGACACACACACACACACACACACACACACACACGAGCACGAAGATGTCTGCTCAGCCCTGGCTGGTGTGGCTTAGTTGGTTGGGCATCATCAGTGCACCAGGAGGTTGCCAGTTGGATTCCTGGTCAAGGCCATGTGCCCGGGTTGTGGACTCGATCTCTGAGAGGGTGAGCGCTGGAGGCAGCTGATCAATGTTGCACTCTCACATCCATGCTTTTCTCTCCCTCAGTGCCTCTCTCTCAAAACCAATAGACTATTGTTTTTTATTTTATTTTATTTTTTAAAAATATATTTTATTGATTTTATACAGAGAAAGGGAGAGAGATAGTTAGAAACAATGATGAGAGTCATCTATCAGCTGCCTCTTGCACACCCCTTACCGGGGATGTGCTCGCAACCAAGGTACATGCCCTTGACCGGAATCAAATCCGGGTCCCTTCAGTCCCCAAGCCGAAGCTCTATCCATTGAGCCAAACCGGTTTTGGCTCAATAGACTATTGTTTTTTAAAAAGAATGAGGCATTCCTCTAAAAAAAATGTCTTCCCAAAGATGTTGGTTGAGGTGCTTTTTATAAGGGGGGAGTTAAAATAACCTAAATATCCAGCAACAGCAGTATTATATGAGGATGAATGGAACCTCAGTGCTGTGGACGGGCCCTGCAGCAGGGGAAGTTTGGTTCTGAGAGATAACTAGATGCTGTTGGTTGAGGAAGCAAGAGTGAGACAGACGGGGGGTTAAGGTAGGAACTCTTGTGAAAAAGCAAACATATTGCGCCCCAGTATATGTGTATCTGGAAATGAATTTAAAATGAGAGGAAATTATGCTGTAGAAAGTTTCAAACACAATACTGTGTGCTTTCTCTCAGATGAAGTTCTAAGACTCACAACTAAAGTTCCATGAAAGAAATCAGATGGAGTTGCCTCTCAGAGTGGAGGGTGGGAGTTGCCAGGCAGGGGGAGGGAGGGAACTTTCTGGAGTGATGGAGATGTTCCCTATCATGGTGCGGTGTGCATTACACAGTGTAAGAATTAGTCAAAACGCATTGAATTATATGGTTTTGTGCATTTCACTGTATTTAAATAGCACATCAATAAAAAATATTAGAGCTGGGACCGGTTTGGCTCAATGGATAGAGCGTCAGCTTGGGGACTGAAGGGTCCCGGGTTCGATTCTGGTCAAGGGCATGTACCTTGGTTGCGGGCACATCTCCAGTAGGGGGTGTGCAAGAGGCAGCTGATCGATGACTCTCTCTCATTGATGTTTCTAACTCTCTATCTCTCTCCCTTCCTCTCTGTACAAAATCAATAAAATATATTTTTAAAAAATATTAGAAAGGAGAAAAAAACGATAAATACCAAATTACTAATGTTACCACTGTGAAGAGGCATGAGGGAAAGGAGAACAATGTGAAATTAGGATTTCACTTTTATCTTCACATAGATATATGACTTTTTTTTTTTTTTTCTTAAGGAGTCTTATTGAAGTCCTAGAGGCCCAGTGCATGAAATTTGTGCGTGGAATGGGGGAAGGTGCCCTCAGCCCAGCCTGCACCCTCTCACAATCCGGAACCACCCTGTGGAATCGGGCCTAAATCGCGGTCAGACATCCCTCTCACAATCTGGGATGGCTGGCTCCTAACCACTCACCTGCCTTCCTGCCTGATCGCCCATAACCACTCTGCTTGCTTGCCTGATCACTCCTGCTTGCCTGCCTGCCTGATTGCCCCTAGTCACTCTGCCTGCTTGCCTGATTATCCCTAACCACTATCTGCCTGCCTGATCATCCCTAACTGCTTGCCTGCCTGCCTGACTGCCCCTAACTGCTCACCTGCCTGCCTGATCGGCTCTAACCACTCTGCTTGCCTGCCTGATTGCCCCTAACCACCTCTGCCTTGGCCCCCACCACGGCAGTTTCATTGGGGAGGACATCTGGAATGACAACTGAAAGGTCATTAGGCTCTCTGGTCTAATTAGCATATTATTCTTTTATTATTATAGACAACTGATATAGACAGAGTGTATGTATTTGAACTGTATGACTTCATAAGTTTCTCTCTCTCTCTTACTCATGAACCATTGCTACAATCAAGACAATTAACATATACTTAATCGACCCTAGAAGTTTTCTTTTGCCCTTCGTCATCCCTCCCCACTCCTCCACTCAGTGTCCAGGTAACTGGATATCTGTTTTATTCCGTAGTTTGCATGTTCTAGAATTTTATATAAATGAAGTACAGTATATATAAAGTATATACATGCCTAATGTATACACAGTGCATTCCGTACTCTTTATTGTATCTTTCTCAGCCTACTTTTTTTTTCTTAACTCAGCATAATTATTTTGAGATTCATTCATGTTCATTCATTTTTATTGCTTAGTAGTAGTGTGTGGATATACCACAATTTGCTTACTCATTTACTTTGATAGACATCTAGGTTGTTTATAGTTTTTGGTTAGTACAAATAAAGCTGCTTTGAACAATTGTATACACGTGTTTATATGAATCTGTGCTTTCATTTCTCTTAGGCAAACAGTAGTGGAATGATTGGGTCACATAGTAGGTATTTATTTAATTTGATAA